GTAAGCAAACATCTAAGTAGCATTAAAAGTGAGTCTTTCTGTAGGAAACAGTATATTTTTAAATGAAATGGAGATCTTTTTCAAGGTTAAAACCTCATTTAATTTTATGCCTTATTGGGTTTATACTGAGTAAAATATTGTATAACTGTAATAATTTAACTGTAAACCTAAAAATTTACAGCCAATTTTGAAAGAGATGCACCTTAGCTCTGGGAAATTGTTGTTGAATATGTCAGTGCTGTTGTAATGAAATGCTTCTTCTAAGTATGTGGTTATTAAATAAATAATTTTTAAAAAGTGGATTTACAAAACAGTATTCAGATCTGAAGGGATTTTGCAAAACTAATCAAACAGCCTTCTGAGAAATGATTTCTTGGCAGGAGTCAAGACTTTCCCAGGGCCTTTTTTGTGGAGAGATTTCATTGGAGGCTTTTGCAAGGACAGGGCTCTTCGGGGAGTGTGCAGGGCTCTTGCTATCTCCACATGCTCATTGCAATAGTACTTGCTGCTTCCTTCAGACAAGTGGATGAGTGTGCTCTCTGCCAGATTCATGCACTGGGCATGTACCCAGTGCCCATCTCCATGAGAACAATAGATCATGGCAGGTTTGTTGAGCTCAGTTGAATAAAATGGAACCCATGTATTGATATCCACATCACAAGTAGGGCAGCACGTTATCCAGTAGCCTGTTACAGACTCATCTTCCTCATCATCTTCATTATAGGTATCAAATTCATCATCACCATCAAAACTGTTTGCTTCTGCACTGAAACAAAATTCTTCTGAGTCTTCAAAGGGAGTGGAGTCTCCCGGGTCTTCTGTTGATGTCTGACTGTTAGTGAAGATTTTATGATCTTCGTTCATATCATCTTCAGAGCATTTCAACATATAGAAATAGAATGCTTCTGAAATGGCCTGTTTATTGTCTCCTGGTATGCCAAGGAAAACAGTTCCATTTCCCATGTTACTCCCAAACCATATTTTGCTGTGCTTAATATCTGGGGTCCAATCTGGGGTCTCCATCTCATGAATATCTATATCGTTGTCCTCTAGAGAGACAATGTTGCAGACCATCCTTTTTTGATTTTCGAGCTGGTAGCCACCTACAATAACAAATTCATCATTGTTCGTTTGAGTCAGGATTGCACTGGAGACAGAGATTCCTCCTGGCAAGACTGTGCAGTTCACAGCTGGGCTACCCAGGGGAAGATCAACCCTTAGTCTGTACAGGTTGGCAGGGCGGATGTTATTGGCAAGTGAATGTCCTCCTAAAATATAAATGGTATCATTTCTGGCAATAGACACATGAAAAGATAGCCCATCCTGAAGCTCTGGAAGAATGTATGACGTAGCACACCCAAATTCAAAATCCACCAAGAAAACATGAGGTAGGCAGTCAGCTACGCTATTCCATTTTTCTGTGGTTCTCTGGGTAGAAGGCATGTATGACCGTCCCCCAAAGAGAACACCCATGCTTTTCCCTCGACTATATACCACATCAATGGAATGACCATATCTGCCTTCCGGAACATCTCCTACTAAGTCTTTCTCTGTGCATCGGAAAGTTACTTTTTTGTTGTTCTTGCAAGCAATAGACATGACATAAATCTTATCTGATAGCTCGTTGTTTGGTGTTTTCCCTCCGTGGATGATGTATTGTTGCTTTTCAGACTCCAAGCTGCCTTTGTATGTGCACGTGGCTGGGTAGCGAAGAGGGGGAAGGTAGCAGGAATCTTTAGAGAAATTTGCAGGCTTCAGTTTGAGATGATTTTGCTTTATATCAAAGTGGAAGACTCCAGTAGGGCAGGATCTCTTGGGCCAGCCTTTTTGGCCAAAGAAGAAAACTTGCCCATCAAAATTCATGAGTGAGAATCCTGGCTGAATTAAGGCTATGTTATTACTGACTGTTACCATCTGCAGGGACATTTTTTGATTGTGAGTAGATCTTTTATCTGAAAAAATTACAAAGCAAAATAACGAAATATCTCTTTATATAAATCACTGCATTTAGATTCCCTAATATGCAAAACGCTTTTTAAAAAAACAAATTAATTTCACGCGCTCGTCTTGGGACCAAAAGACCAAAAACTAGGAAGTTATGCAAACCACAGATCTTCCTACTTAATACAATCCTAGCAGCTGGGACATACTTTAAAGGTGGACCGTCTTCCCTTTGGTTTCTGGGAATTGTAGTCCTTTTTCCTAAGTAGCCATTACACAAGAGCCAAAAGAACTACATTTCCCAAGAATCCGCTTTCTATGGGCTTTGTAGCGTAAATTTGTCTCTGTTGTTTCTAAAGGGGAGACTTCCAGCTGTCTTATGGCATAAAGATGCCAAAAGTGCGAAATGACTAGATGGGAGCCAAGAAACCGGCTACCTAGGAATTGGGAGGTGAGAGTGGCCGGCACGACCGACATCCAGGCGCAGCGGGGCAGCCGCACCAGGGAACTGAGTCTGCAAACGGGTGTCCCGGAATTGCTGCAGCTTCTGGGGACTCTTAATAGGGCGACCCTCTACTGCTACTAACAGGAATGTGGTTGCCTGGAAACCGCAGTCTGAAGGGACGCCTTAGTTGAGGCCTGACTCAACTGCACTCTGAGGCCCCTTCGCTTGCTTGGGACAGGGAGGTTAAAAAGCTGATAGACTATCTTACCTAACCACAGGATGAGTTCGAATACTTAGTACGCGCAGGCGGTTGGGGTTGGGCGGGCGGGAGGGGGGGGGTGTGGGGGGGGGGGGCGGAGGCGGGGGGGACGTGGGGGAATCTGCGAGAAAATGATTTCTTTCACGCCTGCATTTAGTAACGGAAATGTAGTAATTAAGCTTTTGCAAGGGCCACTTTATATTATTTTCTCTCTTCCTGCTTTGCCACTTTCCTTCCTGTTTTTAGGATTCTTTTAGGAAGGCAGAGAAAGTTCCCTAACACCTCTCTGTCTCACCCCACTTACTAGAGTTAGTAGCTGTTCTGGATTTCTTTCCAGCCTATGAGCTTTGAGATAATTCTTGATTAATTCTGTACTAATTGGGCACAAAGAGGGCTCCTTTTCTATTTGTACTGATGCTAAAAAATATCAAATAAAGGAAGCTTGATAAAATTTTATTATTACCTACCGTAGAGAGGCGTGAAATATTCTTGTTTGCAGACGTGAAATACACTTTCTTTCTGTGCTAAATGTTAAAGGAAACAAAATACGATTGATTTTTAAAACATTTTAAAAATTTATTTTATGTGTGTGAATGTATTGCCTACTTCTAAGTGCACTCGTGTCGGTGCAATGCCCCTGGAAGCCAGAAGAGGGCCTCAGATCCCCTGGAACAGACAGTTGTTAACTGCCATGTGGGTGCTGGGAACCAAACCTCGGTCCTCTGCAAGAGCAGCCAGTGCTCTTAACCGCTGAGCCATCTCTGCAGCCCCTTAGACTGACATTTTAGAATAAGTTGTTTATATACTTAGAATAAAGCAGTGGCTGAGAGGATGGACTCTCCATGCTTACAGACTAGATTTGAATCCTCGTGGTCATCTAGTACCCATGTGACTTTGAGCAGGTTATTTAACTCTCTGTGCCTCAGTTTCCTCATCTGTAAAATGTAATTTTACCCACATCATGGGTTGATGTCATTTATGATTAGTAATTTAATACTTGTAAAGAACTCAGGGCAGGGTTTGCACACAGATAATAGTTATGATTATTGAACTAACCAAAAGTAAGGTTAGAGAACAGGTGCTCTTAACCGCTGAGCCATCTCTGCAGCCCCTTAGACTGACATTTTAGAATAAGTTGTTTATATACTTAGAATAAAGCAGTGGCTGAGAGGATGGACTCTCCATGCTTACAGACTAGATTTGAATCCTCGTGGTCATCTAGTACCCATGTGACTTTGAGCAGGTTATTTAACTCTCTGTGCCTCAGTTTCCTCATCTGTAAAATGTAATTTTACCCACATCATGGGTTGATGTCATTTATGATTAGTAATTTAATACTTGTAAAGAACTCAGGGCAGGGTTTGCACACAGATAATAGTTATGATTATTGAACTAACCAAAAGTAAGGTTAGAGAACAGTTATCTGCTAATAAAGACAGCTGGTATGTATAATGTTGAGGTAGTTAGAAGGGCCTATAGGTTCTTGGAAGGTCAGCATCCGCAAACAGTTTTTTTTTTTTTATTAATTTAATTTGTTCTTTGGCAGTTCCATACATGTATATAGCACATTCTGATTACTTTCCCTCCCACACTATCTTCTCTCTCTACAACTCCTGTCAACCCCTTTTTTCTTGCTACAAGTCCCTTTCCCACATCCCACGTTCTTTTCTTTTTTTGTGTGACCCCATTGAGTTTAACCAAGGCTGTCCATGTGAAGATGGGTTTAGAACTATCCACTGGAGTTTGATGGGACCAGCAGTGGTATACAATTGAAGACAGTGACTCTCCCAAAATCTATGAGTAGCCAGAGTAGTTCAGCAGAGGAGAAGAGGGCCCTATGAGCCCCTCTCCAATCCATGGTTTGTGCAGGCCTGGTCCAGGTAACTACAGATGCTGTGAGTTGAGTTGTGACCATTGCAATGGCTTTGTCACACCAGGAAGATGGTATTTGACAGCCCTTCACCATGTCCTCTGGTTCTTATATTCCTTCTGCTCCCTCTTCTGGGATCTTCTCTGAGCCTTAGAGGGGGTGGTAATGTTTAAAGCTGAGCATTCAACTGACAAGCTTTTGAACTAAAAATATTTGGATAAATATAAATGTCAAGGGTGTTGGTGGTGGGTCAATTTCAATAACAAAGGATACTTTATACTTGTCACTCTTTAACTCTTCATATGCAAGATCGAGTTGGGTTTTCTGAGTCTAAATCTTGACTCAACTTCTTTGTGACTACCTCTGGCAATTTTCTCTATCTTTTATCTGAAAGTAGAGATTATATTAATACCTATTCATTGGATTGCTTTGAGAAGTAAGAGAGCATGTATCAACCATCTGGCACAGTGCCTGGCATATGATAAGTGGCCAGTAAATGTTAGTGTTTCTATAATCTATATTTCTGTTCCCTCTGCATATGTTCCTTGGACCAAATAGTAGGTGTGGTCATTCTATGAAATCTATGAGGTGTTTTTTTGTTTGCTTGTTTTTTTTTTTTTACTTTGACGTATTTCTGCAGTTTACATATTAATTGCTAAGCATTTTCTTGCAGTTATGACTTACAGTTTACTTGGGAGAGTCCTGAAGATGTGATACTTTAATATCTGCTTGTGGGTTATTAAGTCAAGTGAGGAAATGGCCTGAGGAAGATTATTATTTAAGCTATTACTAAAGCCTCTCTCTTCCTTCAGACCATGGTGGTTTGTAGATCCAGCAGCTTGCCCTGATTGTGAAATAACCTGGGCAAATGTTTTATTTATTCCTGGGCTGTTCAAGTATATATAAGACAGGGCTGTTATTGACTAAGGAAATTCTTCCCATAGGAATGAAAAGAAAGTAGGGTTGACCCCTATGTCAGTAAATGAGAACCATAGGTGCAGTAAGCAATTACACTCTGCAAGGTGAGTGATTATTTTCAGAGATTTTCCCTGTTTTTGGTGGAAGCAGCAGTAAATTCAAAGCTTGCTTACTTCAAACGTCCAGGAAGACTGATAACTGGGATAAAGTGCAAGCTATACAGTGGCAGGTACAGATCCATGGATTTTTCAAACAAAGTACTTGTTTTTTGCAGCAAACTTAAGAAAAGGTTTTCATTATAGCCTGCTGGGCTCATGTTATGGTTGTTGTAGGGAGCTTGGCTTCTTATAAGGGAAAACATGATTATTGTGGATTAAGTAGAAATATTTTCTTGAGAAGTATATAGGGAAGTCTCCATTTTTGCAGCATAACTCAGGACACTAAAAGTAGTGTAAAGTTTATTGTTTAGATGTGTCATCTCCTCTTGTGACCTAGACAAGTGCGTGTGTATTTAAGGTTTAGATTTTCCATTTTAGCCAACTGATTTCTGTATTTAAATAATAGAAACATTGAAATTGTTTAACATTTTTAACTTGCTCATTTCATTGTTGAAATTTTGGTCTATTGACTAGAATATATTTCATTGGAGTAGGCTATTGTGTCTCTTCCATATAGATTTGTTACATCTTGGTTTTAAAAAATAGTTAAAAAATTATACCAGATCTAAAATAACCTTTCAAGGTGTTTTTCTTTAAATAGACAAAAACTAAGTAGATTTAAAAAAATAAAAAGGTACTGCTCTTCAACTGATGGAAATTTCAAAGACAACACATTAAAGAATCTTTTTAAAAGAAAGAATTATAGGGCCAGTATACCTGCACAGCTTCCCCAGCCCCATGCTAACATTCCTCAGCAGGGCAATTTTCAGTTACTCACTTTGAAGCCAGGGCATAGTTGAGTATCAAAAGAGGACAATGGTGTGAGGTCTAGTTTTATAGCTTCCTGTGTCTGAACTAACTTATTTTTCACCCCAAAACACATAGTGTGTGTTCTGAAACATTACATCTTCCAGATCAGTATTGCCCATGTGTCCTGACTGCTCCAAAATAGCAAGGAACTCACGTAGTGGCAGCCACTTAATGTGTGGTTAACACTATTTTGCGTGGTTAATCAGGTTTGAGGCATACATTATCTGATTTTTGCTGGCAAGGAAACCAGGACTAGGACTTTCTTTCCACACTGATGCCAGAGTAGCATTTATGTCGCAAGATTAATAATAGTGCTCCGAAGCAGAATTGTTAATCACTGCAGCAGCTTGAGACTAGGCAGCTTCACACTTCTAAATTCTACATCACCTGTTCCCTCCTAGACACCCTGGCCATCTGTAACCAGTGTGTTGCTTAAGCATCAGCATTCCCTTAAAGTTAAAGAATATAGCTTCCCATTTTTAGCTTTGGTAGAAATGAAGGTATTGGACCTACCTGAAGGCCAGGGGGGCTGTTTACCCCTCTGTGAATCTTTGCCGCTAAGCCAGGTATTAAAATCAGCACTTGGGGAAGATTCACTGACTGCTTACTATGACTGGCAAGATGAAGGCTGATGGTAGAGAGACAGTGTTTGTGTGCTTACAGATGTTCTGGTGAACACTGATATAACGGGAGTAACTGACTGTGACCTCCTACCCCCTTTGATGGTTGAGGAAGATATCCCCCAGGGTGTTAACCTCAGGATTTAACTATTTCATTGCTAACAAAAATGAAAATGTGAGTCAAAAGTCACCATTCACTTGTGAAGATGAGAAAGTATAGTTGAAACAATTTGTTAAAATTTTAAATGTTTTAGAAAAACACGAAAAAAATGAATACCACTAGTCTGGTTAAATAAACACTATTGTGAATCAAATGGGAAATTAGTTGTTTGGAAGAAAAAATCAGAATTTCTCTTCCATGGTCTAATTTC